AAACGTATGAAAGTATGAGAAGTAATTGGTTGAAATTTCAAGATGGCCACCATGGATATGTTTCGGGTTCTAAGAACCCTTACACTGGAAACTTCCCAAGTGTGGAGGACACATTTACTCTAGAAGCAGCTTCAGGCAGTCTGCTGGTTTAACTTTAGGTTCCCCTTGGCTATTTTTGATGCTTCCTTGCTTATGATTAAAGGTTGCGACTAAACTAGTTTTTGGTTTTCTGACGACACTCAATATTGAAAAGCGCTTTTGTGTTCTGAGTTTGCACAAACATGGGAAACGGATGGTAACTGTACTTCTGTACTTTGAAAATCTTTACCTAATTCGGAATTGCACCGTATGCATTAAAAATGTACCTTTTCAGTACCCAGCGAATGCGTGACTCCTGGTTAGTACGTATTACAGATGTCAACTATGGCCGCACCGTGGCATACCAGTCAAAAGGAGTGAGAGAGCAAACCAGATAGATGCTTTTCGTCACATGGGTGGGATAGACAAAGGCGCAATATGATGACAGACATCATGCTACTACAGCAAAGGTAGGAAAATTAGAAACAAAGAGCCAACTCTACAGAACAGAAAAATTGGATGAGCCTGAACCTTTTAAGACTCGGTGAAAAATTAATCTTCTGTATTAGTTGATCATCACCCCGTAAGAACCATCATCATTAGCGAGGCTTATTTTTGAAATTAGTGAGTTACTAGCTGCTCGTTGGAACCTGAGCCCACAAAGCAAGCGTGCATGTAAAGTTGATCCAGCAGCAACTGCTTTGCTCATTGTCTCTGTTTTCTTATTTGCAAGACTCGGTGTGCCATCAGTACAGGGGAGCCAAGATAAAGTACCAGTGCATGTCAGCGAAACAGTGTCAAGCTGAAAGCCACTGCTACAATTACAAGAAAAAAATGTTATGATGCTCTTTGATGATTATATCAGCACAGCACTGTGCAAATATATATACTGAATTTCCCCAAAGAGATTAATTCTTTCCTTTTTTAACATCTCACAATGTAATCAACTATCTTTTGAGATAGCAAGGACAGCATTGTATCCCATTTCAGCGCTGTTGCACAGCACACCCATTCCTCGCAGGATTAATCAGTGTGATTTTTCTAACATTTTTTACATTAAATCAGTCAGTCCGGACATTGAATTTGACGATATATAGTTGTAACCTAGTGCCTTGAATTAACGTTTCCTCCACAATTATCAGAAATTTCTAGAGCGTGATTTGCGATAAGCAGTACAAATAAGCACAAATAGGAAAGTGTACCCGTCATACTTGTGGCTGGAAAGTGTGATAGGACAGTTTTAAGGTGGTGCCTGCGCCACTAGACAATACGCGTGACCCGCACGCTCTGTTATACAGATTACTAGATTCAGCCTTGACAGGAAATGTGGAGGTTATGTTTTAATCCATGAAAATGTTTAACCGATTAGTGTTTTGCTTCTCAAACTTCTTCACTGATCAAATTAAATGGTGATTGGACTTTACGTCACTCTATTCTATCTTGTTCAAAGGATGGATAACGCTATCCACTGGATAAATCTCTATCCGGTGGATAGCGCAGTACGTTTTGGTAACACTTATCCGCTGGATAGCAAGCCAGACGTTTATGCTCGATGCAAGTGAAAAAGGTTTATTATACGTTTTCTTACAGATCCAAATTGGACTCCACTCAATCCTTCAAGACCAAGCTCGATTGACACTAAATAGATGAACAAGAAATAGAAAAAAGGCAGAGGGTGAAAGATAGTAATACAGATAGGAATAAAACCCCAAATGGCTGACATTTTCTCCAGCTGTTAGCTTCGTTCTCAGTGTCATTACAATTTTAAGTTTCCAATCTTTTCTTTCCTTCATGTCGCTCTCGTGTAGTACCCACGATGGGCAACACCTTTAGTCTAATTATTATTTTTAAATTTTTGCCGGGCCAGATGTTCTTTCACCCCAGAGAAAAAATGACAGACGTTAACCCTCTCACTCTCAAGATCTCATTCATAATTCTCCTTACTGTCTGATACGATTCCTATGATGTTAGTTTGGAGAATTTAGTATTTGATCCACCAATAATGCCCTCATTGATAATTTTCTTTCTTCTCATCACTTGTCTGCCTGATATTGTATTGATATTGTAAGGAGAAATTCTGTTTTTGTCACTGGTGGGAGTGAAAGGGTTAATAGTGTTTCGGGGGCCCCTTATCCCCAGACGAAAACAGGCCCTTTGACAGCGAGGTTAACCACAACATTTACGGCAATTGTTAATGGTAAAAAATCCTAACCGTCTTCTTTTCGCTTTTTGAGTACTTAATACAAAATAATTGCATATGCTGCAGCCGAGATAATTTTTTCTTGCAGGGCTTTGGGTATTACTGGAAAATTGGGTGACATTACAGTTCAATTTTGCCGTTAACTTGATGCTTTATATCAATAATTTGCGCAGGTTCAAGTGTAATTTCTCCCTTTGACCGGGTTTCATTAACTTCAAATTTCCTGTCAATACCAATCAGTTGACAATATAAATGAATAAAATGAATAAAGGCTGATAGTTTCGAAAGAAACTGTTTGGGGCTGCGTCCGTGGGAGTAACGAAATAATTTGGACATATCAACAAAGTTAAAATGGTGGCCCTTCGAGCGCTAGTCCTCCGCTCCGACGAAGGGCTAATGCTCGAAACGTCAGCTTTTGTAATCGTTACGGTGGCCAATTTACCTTTTCAACTTAGTTGATAATATACCTTGGGTGTTCTTTTTTAATTCTATGGTACATTTCAAATCTCGGTTGTCACTCTTGAGACATAGCTATTCCTTAATGGTTATTTAGGTCTGGAAATAGGCGGGTTAAACAATTCTGAGGTCCAGGAAAAAAAAATTTTCAATCAGTTAAAGGACAATTACCAGCGCAACCATTTTTGGGCTTGTTTTCATTTGAAATGCGTTTAGAAGCCTTCACTTACTAAACCTTCACAACAATAAAAAAAGATCACAGAAAGTGTACAACTGTCGTAAAAAAATTACAATGTTCGGCAACTTCGGTTTCCTTTTTCCGCTTGCCTAGATGTTTTCAATACATTGGTTGTTGAATGAGTTCGTTTCCGGTTAACTAAAATCACATGTGCTCCTCGCACAAGAAAGGCGCGTGGGACTGTGTTTCTTATTACTGTTTACCAACAAATGTTCTCGTCCTTTTTTTTTTAAATGAATACAGTTTTTCAGCCATAGATTAATGCATACTCATGGTTTGAAAATTTGCCAAACTGGTGCAGGTTGTGCGGAAGAGTAAAAAATTATCATGGCGAATAAGTGCGAACCAGGTTTCAATACCAACTAAAAGTAACCTCATTCACGTATGAGGAAACAAATTTCACCAGCAACATCAACACATTAATAATTCTTGCTTCTCATTAAGGAATTTCAGTGAACTCCTTCTGCGACCTTATCCTTCAACGACAGTCTCTAACTCTTCGAAGTTTTATACACGCATTTAACAAAGGAGAGAATTGGAAACTGGACGAGCTCTTAGCGAATTCTGTGTACACCGTACAAATTGAATGCTATTCTTATCGTTGTCAAGGAACCGTTCTTTTCTAATACATTACTGATATCTCTCATCCAGTTTCTCATCATGTCAGCATGATCATTAACTATGAGACTAAATGTAGTTAATGATCTGCTGTTTGCCAAGCCCTTACTAACACTGTCGGCCCAATTTTCCATCTCGTCAGTGTAATTGTCAACTGTGAGACTGAATGTCGTTAATGATGTGCACTTCGGCAGGCCCTTACTCATAAGGAAGGCCCAGTTTGCTCTCTTTTCAGTGTGATTGTTAAGTGTGAGGCTGAATGTCGTTAATGAAGCGCACTTCGGTAGGCCCTTACTCATATGGACGGCCCAGTTTGCTCCTTCGTCTGTGTGATTGTTAACTGTGAGACTGAATGTCGTTAATGATGTGCACTTCGGTAGGCCGTTACTCATAAGGAAGGCCCAGTTTGCTTTCTTGTCAGTGAGATTGACAAGTGCGAGACTGAATGTCGTTAATGACGTGCACTTCGGCAGGCCCCGACTCATTTGAACGGCCCAGTTTACTCCTTGGTCAGTGTGATTGTTAACTGTGAGACTGAATGTCGTTAATGATGCGCACTCCGGCAAGCGCCGACTCACATAGACGGCCCAGTTTGCTCCTTCGTCATTGTGATTATTAACTGTGAGACTGAATGTCGTTAATGATTTGCACTCCGACAGTCCCTCACTCACAAAGCTTGCCCAGTTTCCAACGTTGTCAGTGTGATTGTTAACTGTGAGACTGAATGTCGTTAATGAGGCACAATTCGGCAGGACCCATCTCATATGAACGGCCCACCTTCCTACCTTGTCAGTGTGGTTGTTAATTGTGAGACTGAATGTCGTTAATGATGCACACTTCGGCAGGCCCATTCTCATACAGAGAGCCCACTTACCTAAATTGTAGGTTTGACTGTTAACTGTGAGACTAAATGTAAATAGAGATCGGCTGTTAGCCAAGCCCTTAGCCACACCTCTGGCCCACTCCCATGGCATATCAGCGTGGTTGTTAACAGTGAGGTTGAACGTGGTTGATGACGCACAGCTAAATAGTGCAATGACTTCATCGTATGTTGCAGTCTTCCCGTCAGCTAAAAACGAGGTTGAGGGTGGAGAAAAATTAGCAAGAGTATCAAAACCACTTAAATAGCGGTCCTTACTGACACCATTCAAGAGCACTGAAATAGAATGCTCTGGACCCCCTTGAACTAATCTTTGAAGTGCAGTTTCTCCGTAGCTTGTGATTTCACAGCAAAGGTCAATAATACTATGTGAGGACAGTGAGTTGTTTGTCAGAAAATAGTCTACCAGACAATCCACAACGTCATTGCTTAGTTTACCTTGGACAGTCAAGTGGAGACCAGATAATGGCGAACTTTTCATGAAAAAACCTCCAAGGGCTTTAAAGCTGTCAACACTGAGTTCCCCACAGACGTTCATGGTTAACGACTTCTCTGAGGGGGCATCACCTAGAATTGGATAGTGCAGCAATCTTTCTTCATGTTTGATTTTCCCGCATACATTTGGATGAATAATAAGAGACTTCCATGACTTATTGGCTGCCAGTATGGTAGCAACAGCTGTCATCCACGTCTCTGGGATTTCTCCATACACCCGTAACTCTAAAGAGTGCAAAGTTCTATTTCGTAGAACACCTTTCTGCAGTGCTACGATTCCAGGGTTGCTCGGTCTTCCATAAATAACAAGACTAAGAGACTCCAGCTCGGTTTCTTCTCCAAGTCCTTCACTAACAGACGACACTAAACAGTCATTCAGATTTCCATAAACAATAAGCGCGAGAGATTTTAGCGATGTTTTGAGTAACACTTTTACGGCTTGTGCAGCAGTGTTGTTAAGATCACCAAAGAACTCAAGCGCAACACATTCAAATTGAGAAAAAGTCGGTAACAAGGTAGTGACAATTTTGGTGCACCTCTCAGTAATCACGTCAAATAGTTTTAGTGTGACTTTTCTTAATGAAGTGCTTGACGACACACTCTCAGCGAACAGATCTGCAATATCATGGGACATGTTCTCGATATTAGAAATGACCAGCTCTGTAAGAGTTTCACTGCTTTCAAGAATTCGATGGAAATCACTCACATTGTCTCTACTGAAAGACTGCAGGTTCCTCAGGCTCAGCGTGGTTAGCTGCACCGGTGCTAAATCACCCCCATCAATGGCGCCTTCATAAGCATATCGTATAAACTTCAAGGGGAACGGTTCTCTCATACCAAGTTTCAAATCGTTTGGTAATGGAATAAGAGGGCAGGCAACTTTCCCTAAATCATCGGCAGCACCACTCTCTTCTAAAAGATCAAGTAAGAACTTACAGTCTTCATAAGGATTATGCCAGTCCCAGTCTTGTCTTAGAATCGTTCCTATCTGTTTGAAAAACACCGTTCCATCCATGCCTAATATGCCAGCTACAAAGTAAAATACTTCTCTGAATTTAACACATACATCTTGCTTGCCTAAAGTAAGGTTTAGTTGATTCATCAAGATCTTGTCCTTTAGGTAAAAGGCAGCTAAAAACTCTTGAAATGTTTTGTGAAGAAAATGACACTGATGTCTTGGCTCCTGACTTGGCCTTGAACTGGCTTCCATGAAAATAAGGCCCAATTTGATCACTGGAAAATTTCTCACATGGGTCCTCGAATATTCTAACTTGTCCAATTCTTCTTCCGAAAACGAACGGCGGTCTTCTAGAAGACACTTCCACGCTAACTCCCCTAGCACAAGTATGGACTCTTTAAATTGATTCTCTAGCGCTTTGTCGGCATTTCGATGAACGTCCAGGCCACTTCGGGAGCAGTAACGCCTTAACAAGCATCGAAAAATAATCTGATAAAGCTTTGTGCGATTAGATGGAAGTTTCCCTTCAAAGTCTTCAAAAACAACGCACAAGAGAAGGAGATTCAACGGATTGTTCCTTAACGCACCTAGGTAAATGTTTTCTTCAACAGCTTGAATGAGCCTCTCGCCTTTTGACAAATTTTGTGGATCTACGCTTTTAAAATGCTTCCTGATGTAATCTGCAGCATCCTTCGCAGTGAACCCCTTAATCTGCAAAAGTGTATGAAAGTCATAGCGCTCCCGGAGGTCGATTCCCTTTTCTTCGCGTGAGGTGGCCAAAATAAAACAGCGTGAGAAGATTTTTCTTCTAAAGAGCTTGACGACGACGTTTACCGATGCTTCTGGTAACTCATCAAGACCATCCAGGATCAAAAGAATCTTATCCTGATTTTCGCCATCTCTAATGTACTCCAAAAAATCTTCCCTATTTTTCATGTCATCATTCAGAAGTTGCTCATCAATAGCTTGTACTATGTCTTTGGTATCTTTGTGAATGTCACAGCATTTCAGAAGGAACAACAACTGAAACACAGGGAAATGAAACTCGACTGGTACTGACTTTTTGGCCCAATCTCTGGCAATTTTAAGACAAAATGTAGTCTTCCCAATCCCGGGGTTTCCTTCTACAAGTACCATTCTGGCGCCCTTTTCACCCTCTTTAGCAGGCTTGAAAATCTCATACATGTGAACCTCCTCCTCCGTTAGCTGAAAGCAAGCCTTCTTTCTCCATTTGATTTGCAACCGGGTGTAAACATCATCAATAGGTAGTTGGATTTCGCTGTCCCACATAAGTGGTTTTACATTGGAACGTCTCATGTATTCATCTCGAAGGTGTTCCACAACTAGACAATGATCAGAACCTGCAAACAAACAACGTACATTGTTCTTGAAGGCACATCTATACAAATAAACATTGACGTTAATCACCGAGACAAAAATGGCAAGAGCAGCGAATAGCTCCTTCAAAGGTAACTGAAGGCTTGTTCTATGCAGTCTTCATACAACTGTTCTATGGTAGCAAAAAAGGGGCGAAAAGTTTGAAAAAGGGCTGGATTTCCAGCTAAAGGCGTTGAGCTACTGCTACTGGAGCAGGCAAGCCATAGCTAGAGGAGACTTTGAAAGTAAGACAAGTTTAATCCACAACTGCTCTGTGAAATGGAATATGTTGAAACTTAAAGTAAAGGTAAAGAATGTGATCCTACTGATGTGTCGAATAACGCGTCAGCCAACAGGCAGCTGATACATTGGCCATTCTTTATCCTTCCAACATACAAGATGTGTCTGTGTTGTATTGGTGGTGAGTCGCTGGTACGTTGGTGACTTTGTTTGGGCCTTATTTATATAAAGCAATGCTTAACCTTCCTTTTCCACACTTATATGTAATGTCTTCTTTGGAAAACTTTCACTAATGATGTGAAACTGAATAATTTCCTTTTGGCTGTCATCTTGTTTGTCATGTTATTGGACCCAGTTCCCACTCAGTTACTTATCCTGACTTAGCATTAGATGAACATTTCCTATATTTTCCATAGGGACACCCTAATAATCTAAACTGAGACACATTGTTCAGTTTTTAAATTTTTATCACCTAAAACACTGCAATTTTATTATGTTGGAAATTGACTTTTACAAACACTGACCTTCTGACCCTGGTAGTGTGTCGGCTGATGCGTTGGCTGACACACTGGTTGATGTTACCAATATATTAGTAGTGTGTTGACTGATGCACTGGTAGTGTGTTGGTGGTGTGTCGGCTGATGCGTTGGCTGACACACTGGTTGATGTTACCAATATATTAGTAGTGTGTTGACTGATGCACTGGTAGTGTGTTGGTGGTGTGTCAGCTGATGCGTTGGCTGACACATTGGTTGATGTTACCAATATATTGCTAGTGTGTTGACTGATGCACTGGTAGTGTGTTGGTGGTGTGTCGGCTGATGCGTTGGCTGACACACTGGTTGATGTTACCAATATATTAGTAGTGTGTTGACTGATGCACTGGTAGTGTGTTGGTGGTGTGTCGGCTGATGCGTTGGCTGACACATTGGTTGATGTTACCAATATATT